GTGTATTGCAAAGGCTTCAGCGACTCCAGAAGGATTGCCATAGGTAGCTCCGTTTTCTCCGCAAATTTCAGGATAGGTACGGGAAGATCGGCGTTTCTGTCTTTTTACCAACTTCCAAAATAGGCGGATATCACAGTCAGCTGCTTCGTCAAGATCACGGTATACACCACTCATATTGCGTTCGGTTTCGGTATCAAGTGCATTTCTGAACTGTCTTTTGGCTCTTTTGTAGTTTCGATAACTTTCATGAACCATACCCCTAGGTCTCCCTTCATCTATCCAGAGACGCCGCATTTTTCTTTCTAATATATGGAATTCTTTTACCTCTTAGGTCCATCCCGTTTTTTGTATGTGGATTAAGTCCAGCTTTGGGTAAATTGCGCTCAGCGGAGTTTATCAGGATTGAACACAAATCAAAATACAAATTGTTTATGTCGGTGATAGACTGGATATCACGCTTAAGTATACCCTGTAGATCTTGCTGCATATATGACCTATAAGACTCAATAGCAACAGACGTAGCTTTATGCCATGCCGCTACTTTAAAGTTATGGTGTGTGAGATAGTGATGTAAGCACTTGAAGCTTAGTTCAGCAAAAACCGGTAAATGGTCTGAGGTGCTACAGATTTTACCTTCCTCAAAAATTTTATAAGCCACTAATTTATCCATAAAGGATTTGTGGAAAAAATGTAATCTAACATTGTGTATTTTTGAATAAATGTAAATTGTTCACCTTCTACACTGAAATCTGACCCTGGTATGCAGAGGTCACATCTCCGCACAAAACTCGAAAGGATCTGAGACTTAACAGGGTTTCTATTTAGGGGACTGATACAACTACTATTCAAATCACCTGCAATCACAACAATGCCATATGAACTATAATAATTGTACAGGCTTTCAACAACATAAAATAAAATGATAAAACCTTACCTTGATCAGTCTGAAATATATACAGGCTTTCTCAATTGCTAAATAGTGAATGAGATTCAGACCAGATATTGTTTCCATTTTATTTCAAATGCTGCAATTATACACGTACCAGTAAACTCACAATAACCCTCATTATATCGCACAACATACATGTATTTAAACAGGTGCTGGATTTTCATTTGTGTTATTTAAAGATAGTATACATATACGAGGGGTGATCAAAAAGTTCGCAAACTATCTCTTTATCTACAAAGCCACAATTCAGATTGCAAAAAAAAAAATGGTACACACATAGCCATACACAAATTCAAAGCTAGCATATATATGCTGAATAAAGTTTTGCTCCTTGTTTGTGACGTCACCGTATGAAAATGATCTCACTATGTAAATCACTTGTGACAAAAAATGTTTGTCTCAGCCGTACTCGTTTAAAGAACGACTGTGAAATTTATGCAATATCTTGAACATTCCTTTGCAGTAGCGTATAATAATTTGTACACATTTTATTAAGACAAAAGACTTCCTTTAAATTCAACTAATGATTGGATTGGTCGTTTTAAAGAAGGAAGGCAGATGGTTAAAAATGATATTTGTAATATTGCCCAGTGAAAGCAAGTTTTAAAGGGATGCTTTTTTTTAATTATGCAATTTGATATCAAAGACCTCAAAATTACAGTTTGAATAATACTTGAATATCTTAACAATAATTCTATTATTAAATACAGGTCTACGATATCGTTTACTTTTGATTTTAAACATATTAGATATGAAAACGTCACTCCCGAGACAGAAGATTTGGGTTTTGATGGTCGCTATGCTTATTTTTGGAAAGGATATTCTTATCCACCTATTCTGTTGCCGAGATTTGATCATTTCTGACAAATAAACTGTTCATGTTATAAAAATTAACTTACATGGAAAGAAATATAAAAGTCAGAAAATCTTTCAGCTTTTGTGACAGAACGCTACGGAAGGGGTCACGGGACCGCCTATGTCACGTGATTCGCGCGTGAGCAGAGCGGTGGCAGATGTGCATTAAATTTGGAGAGGACTAATCTAAAATATAATCAACACTGAAACCAAATATTGTTTCTTTTATTGAAGTTATTCAATTAGTTCGCGAACTTTTTGATCAGCCATCGTACATGTTTCTAGACATTCAAAACTACCGGAGGTACGAGAGTTAGCGTGCGTATTTGTTTTAGAGGGGGGACAGAGAGTATTAAATCTTTCCCTTACCAGGATCATTAATCTTGCATAAGTTAATAGGACATGATAATAGTTAAATTGATTGATTGTTTTTTGTTTAAATCCCTCTCGAGAATTTTTCACTCATATGGAGACGCCACGGTGGACAGCTGCAAATTTGTCCTTTACTTGACACTGGGGGCCGTTGAGCAGAGAGGGATCTTTTTGGTGCCAGCACCTACTGTGACACGGGACCTCGGTTTAAACGGTCTCATTTGAGGATGAGACATCCCACAGTGGGATTCGAACCCACGACGTAAGGATTGATTCCTTACTTCGCAGATCTAGAGCAGACGCTCTAACCACTGCGCCTCTTGGGTAACTAATAAAATTGAAATTTAAAGGTTTAACAAAACTGTTTGGTTAAGCATTAATTTAGATGACCACGTGAGATATATGATATTAATAATCACTGCACTTATATAATGTATATTAAGTCATCGAAAAAAAGAATTAGCAGAGTTTATAATTGGTGCGTAGGAATATGATGTTACCAATTTTTTATAAATGAAAAAAAAATTCATACCTTATATAATGCACAAGGTCCCTTAATAGGTATGGAGTTAATTTTGTATGTAAGAAAAATAAGTAACGTCATGCAGATGTATGTAATTTTGTGCTTTGGCTGAACAATGTACATTTAATATACTAGAGGATACAATTATTTTATTGTTGATAGGATAACAATTAATTACATGTACATGTAAGACCGCACGTGTCATTTTTATTAAAATATATTCCCTATTTTTTTTTCTGTGATAACTCTGAAAGTTAATTGAGTTCATTATTTCATAATTCTACCTAATGTAAATTTCGCAAAGCGATAGGTAAGGATATAATATAAGGAGGCCCAATATGCATGCAAATCGCGAGCGCCTGCATTTGTGCTTGCGTGACCTCAAAGGGCGGGCTTATTTGAAATTGACATTGGTGACCTCGTGTAATTTAGATCGACTAGTATTAGACTACAGTTTTAAAATCTAATTTACAAGTTGATTAAACAATAAAATGGAAATATAAGGAATCACTGTCTTGCTAGTAGAGTATTCAGGGACATCCACGATAGTTGAGAAACTTAGGCAAATTATCGCACGTTTCTGATTGTCATGGATGCCTTGCATACTCGATCTACTAACTACACTGATTCTTTGAATAGTCACATAATATTGTGTACTCGTTAAAACAATAAAAAATTATAATTTAGTGTAAAGCATATACAATAAAAATATATTTTGAATTAAGGTATTCACTCGTCAGCTTTTTAGAAAAGTCCACGCAGATCCTCTTGCTTCAAAACGATTTATTAAAATTCAATTTTTATAACATATATAAATTCAACAATGTTAATGTTTTAACATTCAACGAAAAAACTGCTCAAAAAGCTACAAAGAAGCAAGATTTACGAGGGACTATTTCTTGTGGTGGAAGGATATTTAGCAGATAATTCTGCAAATCTGCACACTTATTAAATTTAATATCTTGGAACTTTAGTCTTACATACTTTTAGTCGGAGAATATTTTCGATTTCCATTATGATGTTGCTAGGAATATTTAATATAGACCTTAATTTATGTTTTCAGAACAAGTTTTACGCCTCCCTTCCACAAACTTTGCCGAGAAATAAAGATATGTCAAATAAGTCTAGATAAAATTTATACCATTTTTCGCATGAAAATGAAATATTTTGACCAATATTTCAAAATTAAAATCACTGTCACCAACTTTTTCCTTTATTATTCTAAAGTACTCGATACTTGTGACTGATCAGCACATAAGTCGTAAAAAGCTTGATTTAATAAAATGCTTTATTGCCTATTTAGTTTTTTAATATCCCAAATATGTTACTTTTTAGTGCAAAAAGGTCACACAATAATTTACGCGCATTAATTTGCAAGATTTGTTCAGTGATAAATATTATTAAAAATATTTTATGTTAAATAAAATTATATTTATTGCCATGGTTACATCTGATAAAATATGATAAAGGTTAATGTACTTTACCAAAGAGTTAAGTGCAAAATGTGGACAACTTAATTGTACCGTAGATCAGTAGGATGCAGACTGACCCACTATTTTCTCTGCGATTTTGAGTCACACCATATGAGTACTTATCTAAAATATACTTCTCAAAAAATCCTTGATTTAACAAATTTCATGAGGTGACATACCTTAAAGATGTACTGCTTTCAATTAGTAGTTTAAAATTAAAGATTTCAAAGTGGTTGAGATACCAAGCTACAAAAAGCTTTGTATTTAATAATGATAAAAGTAATTTAATAACCCAAAGAGGGATAACTTTTACCTTAAGGACATACACAAGGTAACTTAAATACTGAATGTTTTTCACTATATTTTAAATTTAAAATTATAGTACCATTTCATGTTCTTAGAAAAAAAAATCTGCATGCGATACCAATAGGTTTTGAACAGATTTAAATATCAACTTATGAAAAAAATTGTATTATTCATACAAAAATATATATATATAAAGTACGACACATAAATTACAGATTTTTTTCATCAAAATTTCTTTTAGAGGAGGTGAACAAACCTATTTATAGACATTAAAAGTATTGCAACCATTCACACAGGCCCTTCATTTAGTGGAACTCTTCAACTCTAGGGAAGAGCCCAGTAAAGTTCAAACTGCGTTGCATATGACTTTTAAAAATATTTAGGATGAATAACATTATGCATAATTATTTTTAATTATAAAATCGCCAGTTTAACAGAGTACACGCAGTGTTTTCTGAAAATTGTGAATTAAGAGTAAAATTTCAATTTTTTTTAATTAATGCAAGATATTTCATTTCTCTTTTCATCCTACAAGTGGTGCTCGACAGAGGGAATACTTGTTCGTCATCATATAGGTTGATCCCACACTCCCATTTTTACCGCAGCGACAGGTGTTCGCTCCATCCGCGCATAAAAATGAGGTCCCTGCCTCGTAAATCACTCCACCATTACTACAGGTTCCTGTAGGGAAAAAGAAAATATTGGATATTTCATAAAAATGTACATATCACGATAAAATACTTATTTACACAATTTGACTGACATTGAAAGGAGCATGACAAAATAAGTTCATTTTTAAATTTAAAAAAATGCTATCGTTTTTAAATGATGTCCTCTAAATGACATCCAATCTGGGCAATGGTCATGTTTAGACATTGCGCAAATTTCCATAACTTAGACTGCAGTGCATTTCTCTTTAGTTACATGAGTACCAGTAATCTGAATTTTCAAGGTTTGCGACGATGCGATATAAAATCGGTACATGTACTTAATTAGAGAACATTGAAGGTAAAATACAATTCTTGCAGCCTGGAGGACCGGGCTGCTCCCATATAAGTTTAAGTGTTGGTGTATGGGGATTGAGGTGGGAGAAGTTATTCAAAATGAAAGGTTCTCTAAACAAATTGTTAATTAGAATGTTCTTTCTCTCTATAAATTACGAGATACATCATATAGTTACTGCTATAAACATGATAAAGTGAATCTGTAAAAATATATATGTTTTCTTTTTATATTTGATATTATATATAAGGTTGCTTATCATTTACTGTCGAAAACATGACGGGTCCCTTTTTTTAGAACATCGAATTTTACTTATCGCATAAAAACGTACTGTAGACTGTTTGTATTTAAATTCTTTAAAAAGTGAAATAGATTGTTGAATATAAGTGATGCATATGTCTGCTTTCAATTTATATTTTGTGCAGTCAACATTTACTCGAGGAATTGATAAAGTTTCAAAGGGTATCGTTTTTGTTCGATTTACATCCGACTACAAGTTTTCAAAATATTCTCGACAATCGTCTCCTTCATTTAGACGCATGTCTTTCACACATAAAGAATCGGTTTGATGATCAAGACTCATTTCCATTGTTTACTTTATTTATTTCCCGGGCGACAATTGATGGTTACATCAATGTTTTCTTGTCATTTAATACATGTATATTCATAAATATACATTTACTCATTTTTTCAAGGATATTATATGATAATCTTTTTGTCGATAAACATAAAATGCAAGTACTTGTATTCAAATACTTGGAGGTCTATTCTTGGAAGAACAATTGTATATGATCAAAATGTGAAATTTGCCGCTGCAATAACCCCGTAAAATATTAAATAAAGTTTGTCAGAGTCCTACGACCACATGTGGACGGAGAACTCCTGGGGTGCGTCAACAGCGCAGCTGCTACATAGCCGCTACGTAAAGCTACGCTCTTGAACGGAGAGCTAATCTAGCCGCTACTTATGGAGAAATATTTAATGCTACGTCCCAAATCCAAGATGGTTTCCTTGGTTACAAATTCGCAGCATTCAAGATTTTTACAAAAAGGAGGATTATTTCCAACATCTAAGAGAATTAAATGTAAATTTAAATACATATTTTTGCCTGAAATAAACTTTATTTGATCCAATAATAAGTTTTTATTGATATGTCTTTATTCAAAATCTAACATAAATTCGCAGCTAGGTTAGCTGTCCGTTCAATAGAGATAGATATCTACTACTTAGCTGATAGGTTAGCTGTTACGCTGTTGAACGCACCCCTGACATTTTGAGAACTGCCAATCGGTAATTCTCGGCTGACTCCGTGCGAGGTACGGGCCATCCGAGGAACTCCAAGTGGAGAACTGCAGTACTAACCTTCACAATAGGGACATTTGTTGTAGGCGGATCCTCTCAGCTGCTGCTCACGTGGACAGGGTGGCGTTTGACATTTCCAATATTTACAGTAGAATACTCCCTCTGTTAAATCCTGGATGCAGATCTTTCCGTCATAGCCAGGTTTGGGGGAGAGGTAGGGGTTAGGGTCATCAGGGCCGTATACGTCACAATCGTGAAATCGAGAAACGCCCACTAAAATAAAGATCACGTGACTGTATACAATTAATAGACTGCATACATAAATAGTCTCATTTATCCCCCCTTTACGAATTCGATTTGTGTTTTCTCCGACGTCCGCAAAGAATTTATTCCGGACGTTTTAGTAAACATTGGATTAAAATTCTGAGTTTAAGGATATACGATCCTCAGCCAGGAAGGATAACTCCAAAAATTAATATTCAATTTGAAATTCATCAAAATGAAGCTTGAAAATGAAATTTTTTCATGCAACAATTTTCATATTATTCATCTTTATAAGATTAGAGGTTTTTGGAAGTCTTAAAAAAGGTCTTATAAAAGTTGACATTTGTACCCTATAAAAGGAAAAAAATTAATACAGTTTAAGAGAATCAAGATTTTCTTGAATCCAGCCTTAGATACCAGTGCTTATTAGCATGATATGAAATAAGAAGTTATTTTTGGTGTCTTGCAATGATAGCAAAAGCCTTTTTCACTATGTATTATAGAATACATGACGGAAATAGAAGACATAAAATACCAAATAAGTATGAAAATCATGACAATTTCTCTGAATACCTGGATACCTATCGTTTTTTAACCTAAAACATTTTGTTGATCAATTTGCAATTAAGACAATATTGTAACATTGTTTGCTCATTACAATTGTAGTTTGTCTGTATGTCTTGTAAAACTTACACAGAAAACTCCCATTTCATTTATATACTAAAGATTTGGCAATTTTTTGCATTGCTGATATTCCAATTCGCTTTTTCTGCAAAAATATTGGAGATTTATTAATTTTCCCTATATTACATGATTAACTTCAATTTTTAACTTTAATGAAATACTGTGGATACATTTACATCTTTTGTGGATTCAGAGATACTTTTATGAGTAGTTTTGATTGCTTAACTGCTAATTTTATAAACCTGAGGATCGGACTACCTTAAACAATTTTGTATTTTCTTTTTTTTTTTTTAATTTGCTTGTTAACTATTTCTTCAGATAATTAGATTTTTTTATATAAACATTTTTTAAATATACCCCCTCTGAAAAACTGATGATTCGTTTATTCATATATAGTCAAGGAATTTGGGGAAATAAAATTTGAAAATAAGACTGAACTGATTTTTACTTCATTAAAAACTTAAATGAATGTTGACAAATATATGTACATACATTGAATATAAAAGTTCTTTTTATCAAAGTAATGGTAAACAAGGATAATTGTTAAAGATTGATTAAGATAAAAAAGAAAACACTTAACCGCCACAGAGTTTTATTCATAATTTAAAGAACAGTCACCATTATTTTTAAATGGAAAAATAAAAGAAAGAAAGAAAGAAATTTTCATCTTACCTGATAAATGGAACAAGGACAGAAGTATTAAAATACACAGTTGTTTCATATTCTGTAAGTGGAAATAATTTTAATTAATATGTATAACTATGTAATATTTCAAACGAAAACTTTGATATTCAATATGAAATTCAAACATTTTCTTAACATATATTATGCTACCGCTAACAGTTTTTTTTCTAATATTTTTCAATCAATCTCATTTCATGTATCCTTTAAAATTATGATTTTTTTTTAATTAAAAAAAATTTATAAGGAATTACGAAAGGACGGACCGTGGCTTTTTTTATATAGATTTTTTTTAAAAAAAAGATGGGCTGGGTTTTTTGTTTCATAGTTAAAGACAAATAAATTTGTTCAGTACTCAGTTAATTACAGACTGTTATTTTCAAATTTAAGACTTAAACTTCCAAATCAATATGCCATTAAAATTAAATTCTTTTCTTCTTTTTTTATTTTAATATATTTTTTTTAATTTGACATGTTATCTTGTTGATATCAATAATTTTCTATACTGGTAAGTAGTTTTAAAATGATGGAAACTTACCCAGTTTCAGATATCCGCTCTTTCTCAATTGCTTAATATGGATTAATAAGAGATCGGAATTGTTTCAGTTTTATTTTGAATGCTACAGTGATACACGTAACATTATTTTGTGATAGTAAACTGACCAACCGTCATTATACCACACAACATACGCGTGTAACAGGTGCTGGATTTCCATTTGTGATAAGACTGAAATAAATGTTTCTGGAAATTAATTAAAATACTCCAAAGCTTTCATTTGAATCGGTTTTTGCCAGTGGGAGATTAGTAAACTCGTAAATTTTATAATAGAGATCAAAATCTAAATATCTAATTGAAATTTTATCAAAATTGAAATACATGCAACAACAGCCTCGAGGATGAAATAAATCCAGCCTTTTCCGAAAGCAAAAAATTCGATAAAAATTTTGTTTGATATATAATGATTGGGATATAAATACTTGTTTGTAATGTTTTCGAGGGGTACAACCGAAATGAAAATTTAATAGCTCTACATGTTTCCTTTTAATTTTTTTTTATCATGAAAAGTAAATAATGTTACATACTTTCTATTAAAATCCCCCTCCCCCTTTTCCTCATAAAATTTTTGAAGAATAATGAAGGATACAAAATAAAAAATAATAACTATTTTTACTGGTAATCAATATTTAAATTTATTCAGAGTGTACTTTTTACAAGATTGAATAAAAAGCATTCCGGATATGTACATACCACGGTGTAAAGTACGGATTTAGAATAAAATTTTATTATTTTTATCTTCATTGACAGAAGAGCTCTAGTTCGAATTTCTTCACATTTTTCTCACCACTTGCTTACAACCTGAGATATCGGTGAAATTATTACACCCTTCTCATGGATTTTGTTCCTGAGCGGGAAGGCGTTGTTAAGGACGAGAAGACAGGTAATTTATAGGAAACTTCCAATGCATAATCTTTGGCAAAACTTGAATTTTATCATTCCTTCTGGCCTTTATGACGTTACTGAGAAATTACATTGGACGTTTATCCATATGCACATCTATGACCTCTTGACCCCGTACCTGTATTTATACAATTATAGATACGCATTGCTTTCAGTAGTGTTATATAAAGGAAAACATTTGCAAGTGTAAATATAAAACCATAAAGCTACAGTTCTGTAGTAAAGACTACATGTAAAATATAAAACCAGAATGCTACAGTTCTGCAGCTATATTTGGTCACTAATCTGACACAATCTCTTGATTTAGCAATATACATGTCTAGCTTTATCAAGCTCTTCAGTATAGCCTGATTTAGCGTTTTTATTTATCAAACTTTTTTTTTTCTTAAATGTGCTATTTTTTCAGAATGCCTTAAAAAATCACAAATTGGAGCAGTGAAAATATATAATTCAATGAAATTTCAATGTTTAATAGGGCTGTCACGGTTCCAAAATTTTTTCGAGTCGGTTCTGATTTTTTTAGGTTTGGTTTTGGGTTTTTCAGTTCGGGTAGGTAATGGAATATAAGCTCATGATTTGTATTATTTTCAACAACAAAGAATAATTTCATTTAATCTTAGAAATAGCAACATTATAACTATTTTAAAGTAGTTTCCTGACTAGAAAACAATTGTACAAATTATATAAATCACCCTGTAATGGCAATGTACTAACAAATCTCATGTTTTTGAGGCCATTTTTATAGTACAACCTACTCTAATGTACAAATTGGAACCGAACCGAGTTCCGGAAAAACGAATCCGTACCCGTCCCAAATAAGTTGTTCCGTGGTTCCAGGTCATTTCGGGTACCCATGACAGCCCCAATGTTTAATCTTAAACTCTTCTGAAAATAATGTATGTAAAAATCATTCACCAAAATGTAGCTCCTAAAAAGAAGTTTTGCTCAAAGTTTTAAAAGTTTTTCTGGCTATATCATTTACAGTATCTGATATTTACAAAGTTTCATACAATTGCTACTAGGTTAGTAGTTAATTGCAAACCAGTCTTCATCAAAGTCAACTTTTCTCAAATTCTTACAATATTATCTGTATGAATACACAATCTAATTAAAATCAGACTTCTTAGATCCACGCTATTTTAATGAATATTCACGTCATAAAGTTCAGGAGAACATGACCCCTAGTCAGGTTGTGTCAGATCTTCTTACGCAAAGTGTTTATGCCATTAATCTACCTAAGAAGTCTTATCTAAGTAAGATTGAGCCATTATTTCATGATTGAGTGTTTTCCATAGAGTTCTTTTTTTTCCTTTTTCAGGTGAGCTTTATATCCCTGCCACACGTCGACCAGACGGAACTTGGAGAAAGCCCAGAAAAGTCAAAGATGGATATGTACCCCAGGAGGAAGTTCCTGTGTAAGTTTTGTTTTATTTTGTTCGTCATCCATTTAAGAATTTTTCACTCATATTGAGAAGCCACCACTTGCTGGTGGAGAGCTGCAAATTAAAATTAAGAGCTGTACTCAGCACTTAAACTTTGAGCAACCTTTTTTTTTCATGCCAGCACCTTCTGTGACATTTGGGACCTCAGTTAACAGTGTTTAATATGGTCTCATCTGAAGGACTGGTCTCCACATCAGGAAAATTTATAGTAAAATTATAGTTTCATGTGCTGTTTTAATTGGTGGTAAATTCTTGAATACAAAGTTAATTGTTGTACACTGTATATTGTATGTGCATGAACTTACAAAAGCTGGCTTCATAATTTAGTAGCTTTGGCATGAAAAAACAATTAACTCATGAATACTACTGAGAAATAACTTGTGTAGAGCTCATTCATGAATACACAAGCAACTCAGTACCCAGTAATTGGGCTAAATTTTAAAAACATTAATTTACATACAAATGCAGTGTTAGAAATTTTCAACAAATGATATTTTTTTTTCATTTTGACTTCTTGAAGATATGAAAATCGAGGAGTCCAATGGATGAAAAGTCGACCCACCCTGCCCCCTGGACTAAACCCAGAAGATGTTGAGGCATCGAAAAAATCCGACAGCCAACCCATGTCTAAGTCTGCTAAAAAGAACGCCAAGCGGAAAGAAAAGAAGAAACATCAACAGGAGTCGGGGGCTGGGGGGAGGGGGGAAAGTGTAGAGACAGTTACTGCAATGCTGGCAGCTTCGAAAATTCCTGATGCTTCTCAGAATGAGGCTCCACCTAGTGATAAAGCAGCCATAGAAAAGAAACTTAGGAACTTGAAAAAGAAATTAAAACAAGTGGATGACTTAAAAGCTAAAATTGACTCGGGTGAGCTAAAGAATCCGGAAAAAGAGCAGCTGGCGAAGGTAGCGAAGAGACAAGAATTGGTGGATGAAATAGAAGACCTGGAATTAGACTTAGAAGATTAAGGACAGATGATACAAACAAACTTTTGTCCAAAAATTGGAAATTATTAACTTGAATCATGTTTAAATAAGTAAAATGAATAACTTTCATAGCATAGTTTTTAATTTTTTATTCAAATTTACACAAAAATGGAATTTGAAGTGAAATATTTTTGTATAGATTAATAAGGATGGTTTCAGAAAGGCAGAATTTTGAACATCACTGAAGGTTTACAATTTCTTTATATTCTAGGGATTTATTATTTTCATCATTTGCAATGAAATTAGGCCAAAAAATATATACCAATCCAAGCATTCATTTTTTGTTTGTATCATCTGTCCTTAATTGTAAAGTGAAAACAGTGAGGCCAAATATAAAAATTTATTTGTTTGCAGTTGCCTACCGACCCACTGAAAATGCACCCGACCCAAACTTTTTTTAGCCATTTTGTAATTTTTTTTTCAATTTTTCAGAATATTGAAACAGTTTTATTTTAAAATTTTTGATTTTTTTTTATCAGTCAGTGGTTTATAAAAAGAGGTGAGCTTATTCATGTCTAGTGGGTCTATGAAAACCTCTTTTATTTGTTTTCTAGCAAAAATCTGATTTTTTTTTTCCGCAAAAAAAAAGAATGCCTACCTACCGACTCAGTCAAAAAATTATAGGTCGGCAACTGCAAACAAACAATTTTTTAAGCTTGGCCTAAAATAAAAATTTATTTATTTGCAATTGCCTACGACCCACTGAAATTGCACCCGACCCAAATTTTTTTTTTTTAGCAATTATAATATTTATTTTAATTTTCAGAATATTAAAACTGTTTAATTTTAGATTTTATCAATCTGGTTTATACAAGACTGAAGATTATTCTGGTTTAGTAGGTCTTTGAAAAGCTGTATTATTTTTTATCTAACAAATATCCAAAAACTTAATTAAAAAAAAGAATGCCTTCTTACATTGTACCTACCCACTCAAAAGATTAGATCGGCAACTGCAAACAAAGAATTTTTTGAGCTTGGCCTGATAGTGAATTTTATAAAAATGAATTTCTATCACGTACATAATGTAAGTGAATTTAAAATTATACATGTTTTAATATTCACTGAAAAATGAATTAATTATGAAACATATTCTGCAGGGTCCATAATGTGTTAGATAAGGAACATTGACTCATATCAGGTTTCAGAAAATGTTGTGCATTCATTTATCATTTCTAGATAAGTTTTTGATGTATTTTGAGAAAAAATAAATAAAAATAGGTCAAACCAATATAAAAACTGATTTTTTTTTTTTTTGCAAATGAGACATTCTACATGTTATATACATATGATGTGTTTGTTATAAGATATCTTTTTATTTTGAAAAATTATGTGTGGAGTTGGCATTTTGAAGTAAAGGTTCATAAACCTCACTCTGACATATAAAATGTTGCTTGAACCTTAATTATTTTCTAAAAAGAAATGTATTTTATTAGTAAAATACAAACAATTACGGCATACCTTGCAGGGCAAAATTCAACAAAAAACACACTTCAACTTGGCAAATCTTTAAAGGAATAATAGACATTTATGTCTTTAAGAGTTATTTCTCTTATCAGAGTATCAATGAACCTTAAATACTATAAATACACCAGAATTGGGATATGGTAGATCCAAAACAAAGCTGCAAAATTGTTTGCAAGTGTGAAAGGGCGAAAATAATACGGGGCGAAAATAACCCTGTATACAGTATTTTGAAAAAAAGATATTTCAAAACAATGAATGCCGAACACATAATGTATGTAATTACAGGAAAAAACCTACATTAACAATTTACAAAGGAAGTTTGTAAATAAAGATTTTATAAACACAATCTTTTCTCAGGCATGCCATATGGTGGGATTTATTTTTCTTCAAATCTAATGTCAACTTCCTGTTTATCCGTGCACCTGTTCGTTTCATACATAAAACACAAAAAACAAAATTTTTGTCACAGTTTTCTCAGAAACCACTCATTGCAGATGCTTAAAATTTTAGTACATACTGTGGTTTCATTGACATTCGTTGAGCACCATTTTTCGAGGAATTCGTTGTTGAGCAGATCCACGAATTTAAATGTTCATTGAATTAAGAAATATGCTATTCATTTGTATAGGTAATGCTTTTGTCACGAAATTACGAATCCTCGAAAACTTCCTTTTTAAATAATCCACGAAAATTGATGCCAACGAAAATTGATGAAACCACAGTACTTTGTTTAGGCATCCAGTATGCTGGGATTTATATTTATATGAATCTGATGTCAACTTCCTATTTATCCGTACATCTATCCGTAACTGAATTATGTTTATTACCACTAGTAACATAATATATTCACATCAGAGCAGGGGTATTACTAGTGAGCACTGCATGCTCACAGACTTCTTGTTAAAAATTGTAATGGAGAGAGTGGTGGGTTTTAAAAAAATTGTTCTATAATATTTGGATCAGAAAGGGTTAAACTTTATGAAAGATTTTCCAGTGATTGATAATTCAGTTTTTATGTTTAAATAAAAGCGTCTCTCAGGGGATCTTTTGTGATTTGTTTCATCTGTCATCATTTCTTAGTCTTTATGTTACATGTATATAAGATATTTTCCAATAGGTTTTGCTTTAAAATTACTGTCCAATTTGTTCTGAAATTTAGATCATCAGAGAAACCAAAATTTAATTTACGCAGTTTCTATAGTATGCTGTAGCACAGTACACGCATGTAGGTCGCCCACATGGCGCAGTGGTTAGAGAGTCTGCTCTAGATTCGCCAAGTAAGAATATGATCCTTACGTCGCGGGTTTGAATCCCACTGTTGGACGTGAAGGCCGGTCATTCGGATGAGACCGTTTAAATTGAGGTCCCGTGTCGCAGTAGGTGATGGCAAGGAAAAGATCCCTCCCTGCTCATTAGCCCTGAGTGCCGAGTAAAGGACAACATTTGTTGCTCTCCACCAGCAAGTCGCGGCGTCTCAATATGTGTGAAAAAGAGGGACGTTAAACAACAAACAAATCAATCAATCATCCAGAAATGTTTGTAAAGACTTTGTAGAACATTGGTAATGATCTTAATTTTGTAAGGATTTTATCAAGTTTAGGAATCAAGAACAGATGGAGATCGAGAGAATTGAACTCACCTTCGTGAATTGGAATAATCAAAGAATTACTGACTGATTTGAGAAAGAATGACTCTTCATAACATTGCGATCTGGCCCCTTTTTAAACATGAATTTTTGCCTTTTCAAATCAGAACATTGACATATTTTAGCTAGAATGTACAAGTATGGTATAAACACAAACACTTCAAAATCTTTTTTGATAGCGAGACTCTCAATATATACATAATATCAATGAAAAAAAAAATTGCATACATCAGTGCCAAATCTCAACTTCGCCATTGCAGCTATATAGATCATTGTATTATGTGAATAAGGAGGCGGAGCGTCAATCAAGCGTGCGAATAGTGTGAATATATTATCGAGTGTTCGACGTGTACTTAATATAGTTTTAAGTGATATCTTATTAAATAACTAAACAATCTTTTTTCGGGCTTGGGACCGACAATATGTAATAATTTTGGCAGGTTTAGGTTTTGTTTCTACTGCTTAGCTTTTAAACGAGTATATCAATGAAATAATTATTTTTGAAATTCGTTGAAATAAAATGTAAACACAATGATATGGTTTCTGTAAAAATAATGTCTTACAAAAGATGGTATTTTTAGGACTAGGTAAGTATTTTTAAGATTTTACAGTAACATGAGTAACCTAGCTTATTTCTCAAGGGATAATTATTTCAATTCTAAAGCGATAATAATTTCGTTAAAGTTTTTTTACACGTAGAATTGATTATCAATAGCATATAATTTTGCAAAAAATCTGAGTGTTCCAACAAATATATGTATGCGGTTGAATTTTGATAGAAAGCTAGGATAATGTTGATCTTTAATCATGTGTTCATTGGACAAGTAAGAGGGGCATACACGTGCTTTTTCGTGCTATATAACATTATGTTTAAGAAATACCTGTGCGCAGACTTTCTTAGAAACAGTTTTCATTGACTTTTTACGGGATCTGCAAATAGCACAATATTTGTGCGACTTTGTGCTGATGTAAAATGTTTTAACATCAACATTGCCCCTAGAGGGTGCATTTTGTGCAGATGTGGTCATCCCCCGTGACCTTTCCTCCCGTAATACGCGCTAATTCAGTCCTCCGTACTTCGTTTATCTTTCCCTGGAGGGTAATTCTTCGATTAGATTTACAAACAACACAGTTTATACTTTTAGGCATGGTGTAGTAAGTGTTTTCCGATTATAACAGTGTATAATGACGGTTTTAACAGAAAAAAGGACTATAACTTTTTAATATCTTCCAGCAGTTAAAGTGAGAGTTTTCTTGAAACAGACGCACGTGTATAATATATAAACACAGTAAAAAGCGGAATCAACGATACCTAAAGAGAATTTTTAATTATGTTTAAAAAATATATGCAGTGATTAAGTAACAGATTATGCTATACCCCCCCCCCCCTCCCCGAAGTAGATCGATAGATACTTACCGAAAGAAAAAAAAAACAAACTGAAATTGGCAAAAATAACGTTCAACAGTTCAATAACAGATAAATAAAACAATTCAACCTAGCATATAGATATATCAAGTATGTACTCCACCAAAATACATGTATTTTCAAATAGAAAGGTTGTCCAAGTATTTTTAGCCGATGGAATAAGATTTGACAATGGATAGCTCGCAGACACTCTAGACACGATGTCGAAATGGTGTGCTCAAAGCGTGAAAGTGAATAGATTTAAATCATGTGTTCAATGCTTTGTTATTTATGAGGTCAAAGAAGGGTTGTTTGTAAACAAGGTAGCTTTACTATAGAGACAAGTACCCGTGATTTTGAGGTTTTTGGGAAAATAACACAAGAGCGCACGATTGTTTCAATTTCTTTCATGGATGTAAATGATTAGTATTACTTTTTACGTTGTCCATAAAAACGGCAAATTGAAAC